TTTTAGAATATGCATGCGAATTGTGGGATGGATGCTCTAGTTTCGAATCAGAAAAGTTAGAAACAGACCAACGTGAAGCCCCTCGAATTATAACAGGTCTCCCATCATATGCTAGTATATATTCTTAAAATTTTGAAACAGGGTTAGAAACATTGTCTGATAGAAGAAAAAGAAGAAAGCTCTAACTCTTGTTTAAAATGCATGCTAATCAAACACCAGACTATTTTTCTTCCCTGATTTCCTCCACTGTACAAGATCTAGTTCGCTATCCTTTGCGAAACAGAAATGATTATAGAATCCCGTATTTTAGATTATCAACAACAAACTCTTCTTTTATACCGCTGTTGGAATACCCTAATAACTCTATTAGGTCATCAGCTTCATTGAATATCTTTAAAAATTTCCTGAAACCCAACGATCAATTTATTCCTCCTACGTACTTTGGTAATGGACGTAACATCAGATGTTGACGCACAATAGTCTAACATACTTTTGACGTCATTTCGTTTTAGATTTGACGTTTGTGACATACGGTTGGCTTTGTAAAACATGTGTTTTCGGAGCTATCGGAATGAATATAGACAGATGTAAAGCCCATTTATTTGACATTCATATCGTCACGATTTGTAAATGACAAGTGAAACCTATTTTGACAATGATTGATTTGAACGTGAAGATAACGGTTAACAAGTGAAAGAAAAATGTGATAAAATAACACTACCCGTATAAGTACCATCTGCTTCCTTAATATCAACCATACTATGTAATTTATAAAGCACATATTGATTAAGTAGATAAAATAACATGCATATAAAAAAATAATCTGTTTTTTTTATTTGATTGAAGCCCGAGAATGAAGGCGCGCTAAGATTATACTACATTGTATAAGTCATACATTGCCATGGGTGTTGTTACCCTCAGAGTAATCAAACTGTTCACACATTCCAATAAATCAATTTGAAAAATCACATACGAGATTAAATTTCGCTCATTACATTTTCCACACAGACTAAAGTGTCTGAACGTTCTCCTCCTTCAAATGTAACTTGTAATTGTGCAACCTGCTGTCTACAGCTGACACAGCATACACACTTGTAGTCGGGTGTCGCTCCTCTGTACTTCATTTTGTACATTGTATATATCTGAGGAGACCAATAAACTTGAAACTTGTAATCTTCAAATGCCCAGGTATCTTCTACCTCTGGGACCGATCAAATACATTGATAGCCGCGTACCTTCAAGTTTGCCTTGACAGCGTAAGTGGCCGTAACCCGCGGGGTATCGAGGGTGCTGTGCCCCGCAAAGGCTTGTATTTCGATGTGTTCACCAGGTCAAAATATAGGCCTTCTACCGGTTTATTCTCCTTTCTCCCACTTTTTAGTTCACCTGCGCTTTTTTTTTTTTACTTAAATTGGTACATATTTCAACAACAAAAATAAATACTGTAGGACTCAGGTGACCGTTAAGGCCCATGGGCCTCTTGTTTCTGTTTACGGGAATTATATAAACACTGGAAAACAATAGAGGTGTCATTATACTCTGTTCTGGTATAGTACAGGTAGATTATTTACCTGTTCACCACTAGGACATACTGTGTTAGTTATAGGAATATTTAACAAATACTGATTTTCGTAATATTTACTGGAATTTTGAATAAATATATGCAATATTCCAGTTATTACTTAATAAAAACACATCAAAATACATAAACTGAAAACCTGCTTTTATTAATTTCATATTAAATCAATTTTATATTTTTTTACAATAAAATTTACATGTATGTTATATATATATATATATATTTCATAAAATAGAACTAAATTTAGCAAGCAATTTATGACAAATAAAAGCAGTAAATACAGAGATCATGTATTACATGATTCAATATGCAAAAACAGATGCAAAGCTGGGAATGAAAATAAATAAAACGAATTAATTACATGTACACATGGAATACTTAGCACTTGTTGATTAAATCAATCATATTCATAAAATGCACACATGCACAAATATACATGATATAAAACTAATATAATAGCACTTAAACTTATATTTTTACAAAAGGTGAAATATTGGAAATTCCATAAAAAGCACAAATAATGAAAAGTCCATAATTGCTGGCTTGTATTTCCTGGAAGACGCGAATGATGCTGTAGATTTTGGGGTGGGTGTTTTCCACTTTCTTCTTCGGTTTGCTGTGCCTTCCCTCTATGTGGTTGGTTGTTCTGGGTCCCTCGGTCTCAAAGTGGTTCAAGAGTTGTTGATCTCGGTCAATCAACTGTGTCACGACGTAATCTGTAGTTGGAGTGGTGTCCTGTGGTACATCAGCATCGTCTATGTCCTCCAGTGCATTGAACCAACAATGGTAGTACAGCGACACGCCGTACAAGCTATCGGACATCGTCGTTGTTGGCGTAGAGTTGTTGAAGTCCGGTGCGCTGGACTTTCCTCCAAATACACTGTGTATAGTGGAAGAAATAGCCCTTCAAAGTCACAGCTGGAAACACTGCGCAGATGGCATTTTGGGCATCCGGCCAACTCTGGTTAGGGTCATCTGTTGAATGTAACAAGAGGCCCAATGGGCCTGCATCGCTCACCTGGTATTAATCTCACACTTGTAATCTTAAAAGTGGACTAAAATACAGCTACATGCAGAATATCAGTGTTTGATTCATAAGAACCCATCAAAAGATTTAAACATATGACGCCTGTGACCTTGAATGTCGAACAAGGACAATATTTCAATGAAAGTGGATCAAGGTAATTCATCCCAGCATGCTACAGGCCCTGGACCTTTTGGTTATTGAGACGTGGTTTGAAGATATTAAGACATCTGACCCCAGTGACCTTGAAAGTGGGTCAAGGTCATTCATCTGAACAAACTTGGCAGCCCTTCATCCCAGCATGCTACAAGCCCAATATCAGTACCCTTGGCCTTTTGTTTATTGAGAAGAAGTCGTTTGAGGATTTTAACATGTTTGACCCCTGTGACTTTGAAAGTGGGTCAAGGTCATTCATTTAAACAAACTTGATAGCCCTTCATCCCAGCATGCTACTGGCCAAATATCATCAGCCTGGGCCTCTTGGCTATTCAGAAGAAGTTGTTTAAAGTAAAATATTGACGCCGGACGATGAACGTAAGGACGGACGGACGACGCACCTGGACCAGGTGAGCTAAAAATACATTGGGGTAAATTATGCATGGATTTTGATGAAGCTTTACACACATGTTATACCTCAAATGAACTCGTGTCTCCCAGAACGCCATTATGTTCCTTCAATATTTACCAGAGTTATAATCCTTGACCTCTGTAGACGGTACATTACGTTACTGAAATGGCTAATTGTCTCGGAAACAGTACATATTTTGTATACGTACATTTACGTATATACATTGGAATGTTGTAGGCATTAATGAAAGCTACTCTTCTGACAAATTTTTGAGGTCATGGGGTCAAAAGTCAAAGATCACAAATGAATTGTGTTACTTAAATGGCTAGTTATTCCGGGAATTGTAGATATTTTATATACACATATACATCAAAGTATGGTAGCCAATTATGCAGGCTACATTGTGACAAACCTTTCTAGGTCATGAGGTCAAAGGTCACGGATGCATTATGTTACTGACATGGCTAATTATCACAGAAATGATGGTTGTTTTTTTTGTATACACATACATTAGAGTATTGTAGCCACTTATGCAAACTACATTGTGACAAAATTCCGAGGTCATCGGGTCAAAGGTCACAGTAGCAATGTTTGTCATTTCCATCATCTGTTGGTACGACATCTGAGGTTAGACATTTTCATCACCCTTGATAATTTGGCCCCAACAGGGACAACACGCAGCCAGAATGCGAGTGGTATTAGTTAGCCCATTTGTGACAGTTCTAGTTTATACAGGCAAGTAACACTTTTGGGTATATTTTACCCATTTTCAGCAGCTAATCATTAAAACTTGGTTGGAATAAATATGATGAGATGGCAATTACATTGTATCAAAAATGAAGATTCTGTATTGCTTCTGGAGCCAGAGATGTGGGACCTAAAGGGGACGGAAAGATCCCCATGTGCTTAATATGAATTGTAAATGTCTTAACCCAAGGCAAATCTGATCTCCTTTTGTGATGGGATAAAGTTTACTATAGTATATATAGAGAAATAATGCTTTAGGGCATATTTTATTTTTAAGTCTACAGGAAATGATTCAAATTTGCTTGAAATAATAATGAGATACAAATTTGATACTATCAGAAAGAAATATCCCCACTCACTCCTTGGTCCGGAGGGGCAGGGCCCATTGGAATATTGGCTAAAATTTTAAAAGTATTTTTCTCTAGAATCCAACACTAGTACTCTTGATGGATGGAAATGTCCATACATGCTTTATCTAATTTGTAAAGTTTATTACTCAAGGGTCATCTGTTGACCCTTTGGAAGGGGGTAGATTTTATAGATTATGTACAATAGGTATTTAAACACTTTGGGTATATTTTGTCCAATTTCTAACACCTGATATTATTAGCTTTCTGGTATTGTAAAATGACAGTTTAAGTTCATTTGAAAATATACACATGTACATTGTATGTATTCCTATCTAAAATAGTATCATTAAACCCTGGACTTTAGTTATAAGATAGCATCAATTCAGTGATTTTATCTGATTTTACCAATGTAAAAGACACTGGGTAAAATGACCTAACTCGAGCTAGATAAACCAAGGACTTGGTTATCCAATTCTGTGGATAAACATGATAACTAACCGCCACTAGTTGGGAAACTCCTATACCTTAAGTGATTTATAGAATGTGTCAAGAAGTCTAGTTTACAATACATATAATCTTATCTTTGGGCCTGTATCCCTTGGATTTTATGTAGGATGGGTTGTCAATAAATATACATGATTTAACAGAAAGTGATTAAAGCAAAGTTGAAAATGTTCATTTCACAAGCTAAATTGGAGTTATCTCCCCTACACTGTTTAATTGGATTGTTATGACAGAATATATGTAATGTTTGTAAATAAGTTTGTAAGTCAATAAAATCTGATGAAATGAAAAATAATCTTATTTTGAACATCTGCACACTTTTATTGACTTTTCTAAATTCTACTTGAAAAGGATTTTGATAGAACCTGACAGAAACATGGTAATTTCCCTACTCATACTTTTAAGCTGTATTCCTCTGTGAATGACCAGCAGAAGATTAAATGATCTTTCAGCAAGTTCTTGCAAAAATTAAAGGTGAGTCACCTCTCCTTTAATATGAAAGTCAATGTATATGAAATTGTTTTTTTTATTTGATCTTTTGACGTTAGGACGCAGAAAAAGTGCTGAGTAGCTCTCAAATATTTTTCTGTGGCTTTGTTAAAAGCTTTGTAGAAATTTATCACTAGGTTAATTGTCTCAAAATATTTGAAAATACCCTTTCCCAAATAGTGGAAAAAGTGAAAAAGTGTATGCTCTAATGACCATTTTGAATTTTGACTATTCTCAATGTTGCTTTTGGTTGAGCTTTTAAATTTTACTCAAGGGACACATATAAAAACAACTCAAAGTGAAAAATTTTCGGCTTTCATCATTTTAACTGCATAACGTTTGCATGTGTATAGATGCCAAAACAAAAACAGACCCATTTTATGGTTTATTTGTTCTACATACTTGCATACATAAATCATTCACAGTTCAAAACTAAACAATGCACAAGCAAACACCATTGATAACAAAGGGTGTGATACAGGTCCTTTCTGGGTCTCTCTCTGTCAACACAATAACACCATTGATAACAAAGGGTGTGATAAAGGTCCCTAACACAATAAAACCATTGATAACAAAGGGTGTGATACAGGTCCCTTATGGGTCCCTCTCTGTCAACACAATAACACCATTGATAACAAAGGGTGCGATACAGGTCCCTTCTGGGTCCCTCTCTGTCAACACAATAACACCATCGATAACAAAGGGTGTGATACAGGTCCCTAACACAATAACATCTCATATGACATATAAGAATTAGAATTACTTCTGACTTCAAACCAAAGTCGCACACAATAACTATACACTTATTTTATATGATAAAGGTTAACATAGGATATTACAGTAGTTTTTTTGTTAGGATAATAGACGACTATAGTGGTTTGTTTTCCTCCACTACTTATGAGTCATCTACAACGCCGCTATATATAGCCTAGGCCTACTACCCTAAATCTATCAATAAAACATACCAAAAACTAAACTTGTGTAAACTTACGCAATACCATGATCTAATGTTTTGGAAAACCTCAGCCCGAGCTTTTTAATTATTTTTTTAGAAATCGTTGCCAAACCTTAAACAAAGTCCAATTCTGTAAAGTTATTTAAATATATAATGTATTGAACTGGTTACTAAAAATCTGTTTAGTAGGAACAGAAATAATTGATACACGCTTCAATGGAGATTGTTAACATATGTATTTTATATAGAAATATAATTAAAAGGTAAAACACCTGAAATTAATGCCCTCTTTTTATATATTTAATTTACCTTGGTATCAAAATCAAACAGAAAAAGAAACAAATGTTTAATAGTGCTGTCAGTTACGTTAGTTAGACAATATATACAAAAGGTATTTTTACACATGAAGGAGCAATCTGGGGGGAAAAGCACATGAGTAACCTGTGTATGAAGATGACTACCCAACAAACATTGGGATCCTATTCACAAACGTACTTACATATACCTACATCAAAATATAACCCGGTTATCACACAGCATGTAAAATCAGCACTGTAAGGTTCTATAACTCGACTACATCTACCTGCACACACTTTCTATAAAATCTCTGTAACATATTTCTATAGCACTATTCTACACCAATAAATGAATGGAATAGGTAGAAATCATGTAATATTTGACATAACTGCTGGCAGAAGAACTTTTTACCAGAAGTATATGTATATATATATGTTTATACTGTGAATCAAATTTCACAAGGTAAATTTTAACACAGAATTTAACGCAAATGATATAAACTTATTAATGTTTACCAATTTAAAGGTCCATGAATAATTTGTTTGAAGTACATCACAAACATAAGTAAATACAACGTATAATTAACTTGGAGTACCTTGGTAGCTAGAATGTTTTGTGTTAATGAAGCATTAAACTGCTTTCATATGCGGCTTATAGACAATAACAATGCCCACTACATTACAGGAAAATGACATGAACCACATTTGTTTTTAGATGTGATAACATTTTTAAAGGTTTAGAAAATATGTTGACCCTTCAACTTTTTTATGTTGTTTTAAAAAAACTTTGAAGCAATCAAACGAGATAAATGCCATTGAAATCTACACAGACTATGTAAAATCCTTTTACCTACTGAGGGATTAGTCTACACAGACTATGTATAATCCTTTTACCTACTGAGGGATTAGTCTACACAGACTATGTAAAATCCTTTTACCTACTGAGGTATTAGTCTACACAGACTATGTATAATCCTTTTACCTACTGCGGGATTAGTCTACACAGACTATGTAAAATCCTTTTACCTACTGAGGGATTAGGCTGTTAGATTCTTTAAAGACCCTGTACAAAACTTTCCGACAGAAAATATCAACACATATATATCATGTAACAAATTACAAATAGCAAAATAAATGTTCTGAAGATGTTAAGTGTGAACACAAAGACACCCGTATATTATAAATAAATGCTCCTCCTTGTCCCTCCTTGTAATATTAATTCATCTTTCTGTCCCCCTATATATTTATATCTAGAAAAAGTCCCAGTAAGGTAGTTACATACCAGTAGTGGTATCATGTTTAATAAACTTAACTAACAAAGTGTTTCTGAAATATTTCCTCTCCAGAAGAATCAAAATAGTTAACCCTTTCACCCCAATGCAACTTTAGTAAACTCTACCATGCATTGATCTGGATGAGTCCATTTTAGTCTACAGTGATGAAAGGCTTAAATCATTTGAAAGCACTACAGCACTTGATACGGTTACACGTTGCACCAATGCATGGAATACAGTTGTAAAATGATATGTTTATACATGTATTGCTGCTATCCATTCTACAGTGTAAGTACTATTTAACTTATAACAGACAGATCTGCACTACAGTTCATCACGAGAAAGGTGTCTCCAATATTACCCATGGTTTTATTTGGTTAGGGCTCAGTTAGAAATAAGTCTGAGAGTAACCCAAATAAATTCAGCATTTACTGGACTAATTTGATCTTTATTTAATTAAACAAGAGGCCCAAGGGCCTTAGCGGTCACCTGAGTTATATCATAGGTACTGGTAGCTTTATTTTATTGTTTAGATGTGATGTGGAAATCAGCATGTAAACTAAGTGAAATACAATACTTGTCATGTCATCAATGGATAAGAATTTGAAAATATTGGTAANGAAGCCTTTAGACACACTACTTCAAACAGACACGGCAGTCTCAGACACATCAGTCTACAGTGGCAGGTATTATGACTAGATTCTCCATAATCAAGTTCTTTTGGCATTTAATACACATTTTCTATAGAAATTTTAGATTCACCATTCTTACATCATCAAACCTCAGTTATCAGACCTCTTTCCGTAATTATTTCAGCGGTTTCAATTCTTCTTGCTTCTTTACCGGAAACACCTTAAACACTATCGGTATAAATTAGTGTGTGTTGGATAAAGAAACATTTTACACATAATTACATTGTGAAAAATATATGGATTGCAAGTAAAAGGACATTTCACTTTATAAGCTTCATGTAGTAGACAGTCAACAGAGATCGTCCTACCTGGTATTTATAACAAAATATAACAGAAAAAACAACACCATGGAAGTAGATTGAGCAAACTTGGTAGAATAATATAGATCTGTAAACAAGTAACAAAAAGAGAATGTTTTGTAAGTAAATGCAAATGAATTAATTTGCAAGTTTTGGCATTTTTATATATCAGACATAAAAAACACAACAGCATTTTATACTTCCCGATTAATGCATCCTGGTTTGCAAGATCTGGCGTTTTTATACAATGTCATGAAAATACAAATACATGATGCTCAATTCTAATAAGAGAAGTTTTGACTTAGATGGATATGGGATGTGTTTACAGTAGAATTTTTATCAGTATAATTGACTAAGTTAGTTATAAAAAATAATCCTTCAAATTTTGACACAAATGGTTAAGCCCATCCTAATCTTCTTTTCCGGAAACACCTTAACCCTTTCACCCCTATGTAACTTTAGTAGACACTACCATGCATTAATATGGATGAGTCCATTATGGTCTACAGTGCTGAAAGGGTTAAACACTATCGGTATAAATTAGTGTGTGTTGGATAAAGAAACATTTTACACATAATTACATTGTGAAAAATATATGGATTTCAAGAATTAAAATCAGCAAGAGACACATGGGCCTTAATGGTCCGCTGACCCTTAAATGATGTGAAATATGGTTAGTGTTGGCAAGGACAATATACATAAAACAGATGTCCTGTGTACCTATGATCAAACTTTCTCATTTAGGATTAAATAGTTTACTATAATGAACTTAAAAAATCAGTCAATATATGTGTTTGTTCAACTGGAGGACAAAACCATTTGGAATATAATTTATAAACTGCAGATTTAATTTTGATAGAAGATGATGACAACAATGGTTTTTTAACTTGTGAATGTGAAACCCTAGAACTGTAATTCACTCAAAAAGGAATGAAATATAAATAACTTCATTGTTTTGGCCATACAAAGTTTTGTTAATATAATGGCTTAACAAGAAAGAAATTGCAAAAAAGTCAAATCGCCAAGGCTCAGGTGACATCAAAATGTGAGAGAATTAATGGTTACATCATTTGCCGTATATACAGCTAACGTTTGGCCCTTATCATGGCCCCATTGGTCGTTCACAGCCTATGTGATAAACAAGTTACGTTTTTGTGCCTGTCTTTATTTGAAAGGGAAGAGCTCCTGTACTTGCAGGTTTTCAGAATTTTTATTTTAATATCTGTAAAATTTCCCTCTGCTTGCTGGAGCCTATCTGATTCACTGGGGCTTAGGAACTCTAAATGCAATTGGTATGTATTGGTATTATTCTCAAGGTTGTTTCAGCTTATAGAAGTTGAAATGGCTTCATAAAATGAAAGAACAAACTATTTATGTCATTTTCCTTAAATAATTATAATATAATGTGGCCCCTTTACGAGGCTCCATATGAAGTCAAAGGAATATAACATGAACCACTTACTCTTAATGTCTAGAACTTCCTACATATAAACATTATAAACTCTAAAGCTCTGGCATTTACATTAGAGTCTGTTAGAAGAAGACTACGAGCTTGCATAAATTTTCCCTAATTTGCACCTTATAAGACCATAAAAGGCTAACATCCACAATTTCCTCAACTTCAAACCCCTACACCTGAACATGGTCCTTGCCAAGGCAGTAAATTAAAAAAAAAAGAAGAAAAATCCAGTAAAAACTGAAAATATCAAGATGTTAAAGATGGTTCACCGTTCCAGAGGAAGCAGATGGCAATAGGTTACCGAACCTTTGGCTCAGGTCACCTAAAAATTAAAGCTCGGTCACAATAACAGATTTGGTTTTCTATGTGAAATCAACTACACATCAAGTAAGCGTTTTTCAAGATATGTTTTAAGGTAAATAGTGTAATGTAGATACACATTACTGGTTAGTAATTTCGAAAATAAAAAGATGAGAAAATGAGAAATAGAACTAAGAGTCTATACTGGTAATGTAACAGTGATAATGTATCAGTGATGACACTATGATATATGGTGATATGAACTGGTGATATCAGCAGACTCCAGATAAATGATTCCCTACTCCATATCACACTCCATGTCCAACAAAAGGTCATCTCCCTCCAGCTTCATGTTGGGGGCCACAGCCACTTTTTTGATGACCCCATCAGCGGGTGCATTGACCACCATCTCCATCTTCATGGCCGAGAGAACAACAATAGGGTCACCCTTGCTGACTGTGTCTCCCTCCTTGACCATCACCTCCAGGACAGTCCCAGGCATGGGTGCCCCAATGGAGCCTCTCACTCCCTTCACGGCCTTTGGATGGACACTTAGCTCCTACAAGGGATAAAACGTTGTTATCACGTGAAGTTTGTTTTATTCTCACAACATAGGGGTGAATATGTAATTTCTTAATTTAACTCTTCACAGCAGAATAAGACAAAGCACTGCAAATAATACAGTTCCTCTCACATACACTAACACTTAAGTGATTTTACCATAGTTAACTCTAGTATGGAGATTCACAGTATCTGTATAGGTTTTGTAGAAATAGTAAGTGACTTTTAAAAACATCTGAATGTGTATACATGATGGGTGTGTTATGCACATCTGATGATGCTGCTGGTGATGATGCTGCTGGTGATGATGATGAGGAAATGGTGATGATTAACCTTCAAGGATGGGTATATGCACATCTCTCATCTAGCATGTGGGGTACATACTGAGTCTATATGTGGAGTGTGTGTTTGAGGAAGCATATTTATTTCATGTTAATTTATTATAAAATATCCTGTTGAAAAAACAAAATAAAAAGAGTTATATATTTTTTTTTATTCTTTTTTAAATACGGAGATTTCACCTTTGTTGCCTCATGGTCTGTGATGATGACAGAACGCAGTTGTCCATTCAGCTCAAAGAATACCTCTCTCTGGCCGAATTTGTTGAGGTCTCCAACAGCCAGGGTCTTAATGGACAGGGTCTTTCCCTTCTCTATGTTAACCTGTGGCAAATCAAATGAAAGTGTCAATATTGTTTACTGGCTAAAGTTTTAAACAACTTAGAAAACAGGTTTGAACATTCAACCCTTTCACCACTGTGGACCACAATGGACTCATCCAGATACATGTATGGTAAAGTCTACCAAAGTTACCTAGGGGTGAAAGGGTTAAACAAGCTTAATTGCTATTTGAACTTAGAACCCTCCACACTCCAGATGGATACCTCATGATGAGTTCAGCCATTTGTTCATAATCTTTTATCAATTAGATCCACTATGTAGCTTTTACTTGGACACGAGGCAGACAAATAAACTTATGTAGTCTAACAGTACTCTATTGAGCTTGAAAATGTTTGTGAAACAAATGCCCCCTTTCCTGTTCTGATATATATGAGAGTTACATGTTAAGTCTAGCCAGACTCAGTGAAGTGGAAAATATAGGTCACTGTGACTTATATTTGATATATTGGTGTTGTAATCTTCAAGATATATCCTCATATGGAGTTTGGAGACTGTTGGACTTCTAGTAACAGAGTATTGGAGTTAAATGGCAAGTCTAACAAGGCGTTGTAGGAACAGACAAACTTAAAGTTCCTTCCACTGATGTTGTACAAACATAAAATCATATATACCACCAACCTGATTCGGCAGTAGATAATCAGGCTATAGGTATAGCTATCATTCTGTTTGGTCATACACTTTACCCTTTAGAAATCATCAAGTACCGTACCTCAATTTCCTGTGCCATCTTGGGACCAACAAGGAACATTTTTGTGTCCAGGCAATCCACAGGGCCATATCTGCTGCGGAACTCAAGGAAATCGTCTGTGACTTTGGGGTACAGAGCAGAACTTATCACATCAACATCACGTATAACATGGTTGTGCTTCTCCTCCAAACTTGTCTTTAGCTTGTCAAAGTCAATGGGAGCCAGTGACTCACCAGGTCTGTGCTCAATTCTCTCTTTGTCTTTCAGGATCTGACAGCACAAAACAGTTCAATATCAGTTAAGGCCATCACATTTATAAAAAAACACATTTTTAGTGTAAAAGAAGATCAATTTAATCAAAATATCAAAAACTTTCAAGTGGTTACAAGAGAGTTGGAAGGAACATTTTCAGTAAATTGACCCTAGAAAAACACATTAAACCTGACCAAAATTCTGACTCTGCTGAAAGTGTACTGCAAATGTGATTGTAGATATCAAATACACACTGTATATCCATTAATTTCTATGTAAACTGGGAGACTGTAAACAATACCTTTGTTCTCAGTGGCTCTGGGTAGCCACCTGGTGGTGCACCAAGGAAGCCCTGGAAATACTCCACGACAGAGACAGGGAAAGACAACTCATCTGCTCTCTCCTCCACCATAGCTCCAGTGAGTTTGTTCTGGACCATGAACTGGGCTAAATCTCCCACCACTTTGGAGGAAGGAGTAACCTATATGCACAGCAAGGAAATCTAAATTTCTAGTTTTGGATTTATTAAGAATATCTATACACATTAAACAAGGTTTGGTGCATATATCATGCAACGATTCACTTTATTTGAATTCTCCCACATTATGAATTCACATAAAAGACTAAGGAGGCTCATGCCATTCAGATGGAAACATTGATGCTCAACAGCCAACAACCTCAAAATACAATAATTATTATCTCCAAAAAATTCAAGCATAAATATTTTTCAGATATTAGACAAACAACAAAGATATTATTAGAGTTGTAAAATTAATTAATTTTATTTTTGTTTGAAAATGCAACTGTACATGAGTATATATTTTCAGTAGCCTATAGGTAATACCTACTTTGGGGATATCTCCCATCAGCTTGTTAGCCACAGAGTATGTCTTCTTGACCTCCTCAAACTGGTCAGCCAGACCAAGACTGTAAGCTTGGAACTGTAGGTTGGTGTATTGGCCCCCTGTACATAATCAAGATGTATCATTACATCTCCTATAATCACTGTTTATGATGTAGTCTTAATATACACCTGTTATAAGTAGGCTATCCACTACTCTGTGTCACACAAATTACACAACTCAACTTCAATATTCGGAATAAGTATTATAGCGATATTTGCCGAAATGTCTCTTTACTGATGTTTTCAGCAGTTTATAGTCAAAACACCGGTCATATATACACCTTGGCTGACAAAGGAAACCGAAGTTTTTGACAGCATGCAAAATAAGTTTTTTTAATTCCTGTTTGTGTTCAAAACAAACTTAGCCTTTAAAATTTAAATAGTTTGTGATTAAACAAAATGGTAACGGGATAAATATGACAGCTTAATTATTCATTCTTTTTCTATAGACGTTCTATGAAGTTTATACTGATGGAGCTAAAAGCCTGTGTACAGCTCTTACCTGGGATTTCATTGTTGTAGATGTCAGAATTTCCACTCTTCATTGTTACACAGCACTCAAACGGAGCGTACAAGTTTCTGGTTTGTTCCCAGTAAGCTGAGTAACCTGATACATCAGACAGCCTGATACCTACCAACAAATACACAACAAGCTAGCTATATAACCAACATATAAGGACTCATCTCAAATGATTATTTTAGTGTTCAGTGACATAATAGATTATTACAAAAGGACAAATATTCATAGATTTGGATTGCTTTTGTAATGAAATAACATCAACAATTTGTGCTGTACCTACACATATAGTTCTATGCCTTTCCTATGACAAACACATCTCATAAACACCTGCCATATTAACACTTCAAAAAGTGTATGTCGAATATATCAAATCAGTATGAGCACCTGCTTGTGGAGTGCCATCATAGTTACTCCAGGGGTTATGCTCACTTATGATCACTGCATCCTTAGAATATGTCATGACAAAGTTGAGACTCTGTACGTGCCGCGGCTCGGATGAAACAAGTTGACTAGTTTGAGCATTTGATGTATAATCATAAGATTGACCGGCTTCTAAGTCACTCCTCTGTTATCTTCAAGGGCAATTGGTTTTTTAACAGCGACCAATCAAATAGCTATCTTCATGACTTCAATTTTACCATGACATATTCCAGGGGTGCAGAAGAGGATGGAAAGCACAAATTAATTGTATTAATGAACCAATCATACTGTTCCTGTGTCTAACTTGGTCCTCTCCTAGGCCCAGTCATACTGTACATATGTCTAACTTGGTCCTCTCGAGGGCCCAGTCATACTGTGCCTGTGTCTAACTTGGTCCTCTCCAGGTCTCAATCATACTGTACATATGTCTAACTTGGTCCTCTCGAGGGCCCAGTCATACTGTGCCTGTGTCTACCTTGGTCCTCTCGAGGGCCCAGTCATACTGTACCTGTTACCTGTGTCTAACTTTGTCCTCTCCAGGGCCCAGTCATACTGTGCCTGTGTTTAACTTGGTCCTCTCTAGGGCCAAATCATACTTTACCTGTGTCTAACTTGGTCCTCTCCAGGGCCCAATCATACTGTACATGTGTCTAGCTTGGTTCTCTCCAGGTCTCAGTCATACTGTACATGTGTCTAACTTGATCCTCTCCAGGTCTCAGTCATACTGTACATGTGTCTAACTTGGTCCTGTCCAGGTCTCAGTCATACTGTACATGTGTCTAACTTGGTCCTCTCCAGGTCTCAGTCATACTGTACATGTGTCTAACTTGGTCCTCTCCAGGGCCCAATCATACTGTACATGTGTCTAACTTGGTCCTCTCCAGGGCCCAATCATACTGTACATGTGTCTAACTTGGTCCTCTCCAGGGCTCAATCATACTGTACATGTGTCTAACTTGGTCCTCTCCAGGGCTCAATCATACTGTACATGTGTCTAACTTAGTCCTCTCCAGGGACCATTCATACTGTACCTGTGTCTAACTTGGTCCACTCCAGGTTCCAGTCATACTGTACCTGTGTCTAACTTGGTCCTCTCCAGGGCTCAGTCATACTGTACATGTGTCTAACTTGGTCCACTCCAGGGCTCAGTCATACAGTACCTGTGTCTAACTTGGTCCACTCCAGGTCCCAGTCATACTGTACCTGTGTCTAACTTAGTCCTCTCCAGAGCAGCTACCATTGCACCCATACTGGGCTGGGACGTCATTCCTGACATGGAGTCTACAGCCACATCCACTACGTCTGCCCCAGCCTGGGCACATGCCAACATGGAGGCCACACCAGCCCCAGCGGTGTCATGTGTATGGACATGGATGGGCATATCAGGGAATCGGTCCCGCAGTGCCCCGACCAGCAGGGTGGCAGCCTGGGGTTTCAGTAGGCCTGCCATGTCCTGGAAATAGAGTACTTATCATGTCATGTGGTATATCATACAAGGCCACTTTCAGCATATATGCATTAAGATATATCTTTCTTACTTTTTTAATATAAACAATTCTTGTTTAAGAAGGGAATCTTATTATATTCAGCCCTGGATATAAAGAGACTTGTATAATTTTTATCCCTTATGTTTTTCTTTCTTAATTATTATGTGTATCATTTATATTTAGCATGGTTTGGTTTTATCTTAGAAAATGAAACAAGAGGCCCAGAGGGCCTGTATCGCTCACCTGAATATGTTTAAAATAATTGGTATGAAATAAAGATATAGCACTCCATGGTAGGTGCTGTAAGTACATTGTACATCCATCCGGTACTTGAGATATAGCGAGAACAAACTTCAAACAGAGCCCCACCCGCATGTCCCTAGGGAGGGTCATACCTATCAATTATACAAAATTGAGACCCCTTGGCCCAAGGATGCTCCAGACTAAATAAGGATAAAATCCCTTAATCCTGATGGTCGAAAAAGGATTTTAAGGTTTTACCGCTATTTCTCCTACTGGGCCCCGCCCTTCTGCCCCCTGGGAGACCACACCCACTGCTTATACAAAATTGGTTCCCCTTCACCCAAGGATGCTTCATACCAAATTTGGACAAAATCCTGTCATTCGTACAGAAGAAGAAGTTATTTGAAGAGTTTGCTATGTTTCCCCTATTGGGCCCCTCCCTTCTGCCCCCCGGGGGGCCACACAAAATTGAGTCCCTTTTGCCAAGGATGCTCCAGACTAAATTAGGATAAAATCCCTTAATCCCTATGGTAGAAGAAGGATTATAAAGGTTTTACTTCTATTTCCCCTATTGGGCCCCACCCCTCAGGTCCCAGGGGGGCCTCACCCACTGTTTATACAAAATTGGTTCCCCTTTACCCAAGGATGCTTCACTCCAAATATGGACCAAATCCTTTAATTCCTACAGAAGAAGGATTTTATAGAATTTGCTATGTTTCCCCTATCGGGCCCTGCCCTTCAGGCTCCAGGGGGGCCATACCCACCATTTATACAAAATTTGTTCCCCTTCCCCAAAGTTTAGACAAAATCTGCTCAGTCGTTCATGACTACTAGCTGCAGTATGGCATAAGCTCACCATGGTCCTTTGGACCAGGTGAGCTAAAAAATGTGTTTCAGCTGAGCATGTTATTCCTGCCTTTATTTAAGTCTAAGAAAAAGAGATTTATACCAGTCTTTAATATGTACCAGAAGATTTATTCTTTTAAATAGTAACAAGAGGCCCAGGGGCCTTAATAGCTCACCTGGTATTTTATTTTTCAATTTAAAACCTGCTGAGTACCATTCAGGTTTATCAAAGGAGTACAAGAAACAAAGTTGCAAAAAGAACTACATATAAATCTGTTTTGGTGGGAAAGACAACAAGAAAATGAGTTTTTATGTTATGTCCCAATTTCCCTCTATTTCCCCTATTGGGCCTCACATGCACCTTTTCCTTTTTATACAAATTAAACAAATTGAGTTTTTTTCCCCTAAGCATGCTTCAGATCACATTTGGTTTAAATCCCTTCATTTGTACAGAAGGGAAAATATTTTCCTTTATTTACCCTAATGGGTCCCACTCATCTGCCCCAAAGAAGGGGGTCCATATACCTCAGTTGAAACAAAATTGATTCTTTTGTCCCTAAGCATGCTTCAGACTGCATTTGGTTTAAATCCCTTCTCTTGTATAGTAGGAGAAAAAAAATCCTCTATTTCCCCTATTGGGCCCCGCCCCTATGCTCCCAGAGGGGCCACACCCTCCGTTTATACAAACTTGAGTCTCCTTTGTCCAAAGATGCTCTAGGACAAATTGGGTCAAAATCCTTCTATTGGTTGAGAAGAAGAAGATTTTTAAAGATTTACCTATTTTCCCCCTTTTTGGCCCCGCCCCTCTGCCCCCAGAGGGACCATACCCTCCTTTTAACCAAAACTGAGAACCCTTTGGCTAATGATACTCCAGACCAAATTTGGTCAAAATCCCTTCATCGGTACAAAAGGAGAAGGATCTTTGATGTTTTCCTCTATTTCCCCTAATGGGCCTCACCCATCTGCCCCTAGAAGGGGGCCCACACACCTCAGTTTATACAAAATTGATTCTTTTGTCCCAAATCATGCTTCAGACTGCATTTGCTTTAAATCCCTTCACTTGTATAGCAGGAG